ATACATAAAAAGAAAAAAGAAAAACATTTTATTTGTTGTGAATTGGCATTTTTATTTGATTGATTTCATATCGAATAAACGAATAAACTTTGTTTTCGTAGTTGTACATTTGTACATTTGTACGTTTGGGCTATAATTGTGCGCTCATTTGGCAGGAAATTATGGAATTTGTCATAAAGCGATTGAAGCAGCTGTTCACGCAGAGCAGAGTAGGCGAAGGGCAGCTTGTCAAGTTTTGAAAGCTCATTGAAGAGTCATCGTGGAAGCAAGGCTGACGATCCTTTCGTAACCGTGGCAATTCAATTTGCACGGCTTATAGGCATTTGGACGAACAATGCCGTCATATATATGGAAGGTGGCACTGAATACCAGCCATCGTTCTCGACATGCCGACACATTCGCATTCATTTGGTAAATGTAAATGAGTCTCCAATTGTCTCTGGCAATCAACAACAACAACAACGATAACAACAATGTTGATGGTCGCGATAACCACGACACCCATCGAGTAATTGTCAGTTTTATTTCGCTTTGTCATTTTAACGAAGTTCCAGCATCTTTTGGAACTCAAGCGGGCGGAAAGCCGATGTCGTGTACCACAATGTCCTTTTGTGTTCTTACACCCGGGCAAATTAATAAAACAAAGTGCGGTTAAACAGTCATAAACGGTATTCCTTTGTGTAAATACAAATATAAATATAAATATGTTTATCTATTTCCATATGCACTTTGCATGTAGAAGAAATGGATTTGGGTTTCTTGTGGGCTCAGAAAGTGTAGCAAATCCTTTCAAATTAGTCACATTGCTTCAAGTCTTTAAATCAGAAACTTTAACTAAAATGGCGAATGGTTAAGAAACGATTTGTTGGTGGGACCTGCGCTTAAAATACATTCACACTGCTGCACCTTTTCCTGCCCAGCAAAGCGGCAAACATCGAAGCTTATACGTAAGTAAAGGACTCGCCCATTACTGCGCAAAGGTTTAACCATCTACATCTGGAGCTCATAGCTCATAGCTGGTAACTGGTTGCTGATGGCTGCTAGCTGGCCAAGCCCATGCAGCGTATGCAAAAGCCCGTGTGTGCACACATTACCATAGATGGTTGGCCTCCTCTTGGTGTCGTTGTTTCTTTTGGAGTTGTCTAGACGACCGAATCACGGGGGCAACTGTCCTTTCACACATGTGCGGATACAGCGCTTGGGCGATGCATGCGCCAGCACGCAAACAATACATATGCTGGTTATCCTTTGAGCTGCACTTTGCCTGACGCAGTTGCTCATTTCTTCGGCCAACGTCAGCCGTGTCAGACCTACCTACCAACGCGGAGCGTCTCCTTTGAACCAGCGCTTGCGTGAACATTTCCTTACACAGTGCCAGTGATTTTTGTGCGTGTTACAAGAAGTGAATTCAATTATGGCTCTTATCTTATTATGGCTGTTGACTGAATTCATGCTGGCCCAAGCGCT